TTGCAAATCCCCCAAAAGTTCTTTAAACTAGAGAAACACCGCCTACACATGAGGCCATGAAAGGGGACAGAGCATCTCTGGCGATTTGTAGTGACATTTTTCTTCAGAGTATTGGAGGGTAGAACAGTGTATCGTTTCAAACATCCTGATCTTCAGTGACAGACTTGGACAGGGAGAAAGGAAAGACAGGACTGGAGAAAGGATGAAATCAGCTTTACTGTAAGAGGCAACCAGGAGCTAGACCTTAGTATACTCCTGCTTTCTGGAGAGAACCAAAACTGTCCAGTTCCTCCCGGGGTGATTGACAAGGGACAGAAAGGGGAGGGAGCTTCACACACTCAGCTAAAAGTTGTTGGACCCCCTTTCCAGACCCCATCTCAAGAAAAGAGGAGAAGGGAGGGAGGAGTGAACGTGCCCTGAAAAGAAAACAAGAAAAAAAAAGAGCCAAAATTGCAGCTAGCCTTGGGAAAATCTCCACAGATGAGCATTAAGCAGCTCCCATTAGCAGCCTGCACACGTAGAGGCAGGCTAGCACGCTGTTAATATAATGCAGGCGAGGAATGATAGACCTGGGAGAAGAGTGGAAGAGCTAGTTTTGCATAAAACAAAACAAAAAAAACCGAACCATTTCTGATGACTTGAGTTTTTAGGGCTGTTGGGTGAAATGACTTTAGAACACTCAGGCCTTAGGTCACAGGGAAGCCTGCCTGTGGAACATCCGTTTGGACACTGTGGTTGTAAAAATATACATTCAGCTACCTTAAAAACAAGTTATATATACACCATGAAAATAGTTTCTTGTTTCATGACTCTGAGGTTCTATTGGGCCAGAAGAAAAGAAAGAATAGTCTCACAGAGGTATCTGAACTCCAGAGTGGACCGTCTGAGACGACCAGTTTAAAAAAAAAAAGTCCCTGCATCGCCTTCGCTCTGTTTTGCTCTTCTTACTCTTGGGGAAATTTCGGTAGATACTAGGAAAGAGAGAGAAAGGGAAAGAGGAATTGAAAGGTGAAAAATCTAAGAACTGGAGAGAATGCAGGAGGGAAGCAGGAGGGATGAAACCCAGCGGAAGTGTTCACTACACTTATTCTTCAAACTGAATTCTATCACCCCGCTCCTTTCTCGGCCTGCTAGTAAACTGTAGTCTGAAGAGTACTGTAGGTTACTTGGGGCAGATAAAATCAAACTTTGGAGTGAAGCGGAGACAGCGGAAAGCCTGCCTGGATCACCATAGGGGCAGCAGTCGCGGCTGTTAGTCGCCGCTAGCGGAAAATGCAGCGCACACCAGGGAATTTTCCACGTAGAGTCCCTCGCCCTGATTTAGGGTATCCCTGCCCAACGCTTAAACTAAAGTAGATGGGAGGGAAGGGTGGCTTTTATTCCTTGGAGATCCAGGATATCCAGCAAGACTAAAAGGCAAAAGATTCATAGTTCCACCAAGCTGAGCCTCAAATTCTCCCGCTCACTGCAGACGTTTCTTAAAACTCCAGGACTGTGCAAAAATCGAGATTTTTCTCTTGGGTGGGTCTGGCTTCAGGGGCACAACCAAACAAACTCTGCATTATGGATATTTCCTACAACCTAGCTGGGTCGATAAAGGACTCAGTGGACTAGTCAGATAAAGGCAGGAGTGCAGATCTTTGTGTGCCGGCGGCGGAGCAGGGTGCCGAATGGACTGTGGCTCTGCCTGCTTTCTCTATACAAACCGGAGAAAGAGGGCAGATCGTGATTCCCTCTTAAGCCTTTCTTTTAAGGGACTTAAAACCTGGCTGCTCTAGATGAACCCCGGGTAAAAGTGGATCGTCTGTCTCTCCAGAATCTCCCGAGCCCCGACCCGCTTCCCCAGCGCGCTCTCTGCCACTTTCCCGGGAGTTCCTGTACTAACCGAGAAAGTCGGTGCTTTTGTCAACTGCGCATAACAATTACTAAGAAAATATTGTGACGATGTTGTGGGGCGTAAGGGGATATGAGGGAGTGGAGTGGGGGAGTTAGTTTGGACAGCGATTTGCAAAGGAATATTAACTTTGATTCCCCGGGTCACCGCAGGGGTAAAAGGGTTGGCGGTGCACTACACAGTTGTTCCTCTAGGTGGCGGACTTTAGTACCAAACAACCACTAGGCTATGCGTTGACTTCAAATAGGATTAAGCTTCTTGGTGGTTAAAAATAATAGTAGTAATAATATATTGGTGTGGGGCTGTTTTTCCCCTTTGGGGTATTTATTTATTGCAGGGAAAAGTCATTGATTTTCCTAAGCAAACTGTGTTTCTCCTTCGCTTGGTGGAAAATAAAAAACTGTTTGAATAAATAAGTTATTTCTGAACATTTTGTTGTCAAAGTGTTAAATGTTCCCGTCATTTTTATTCAAACACTAACATGATTACAGCCAATTATATATTCACCAGTGTTCTTTATTTTAGAGTAATTGTACTTGTCACTAATAAAACAGAGGCATAATGGATCGCTACTGTTCTGGATTTTCAAGCAATTTTGTGTAATTTGATTGAATTATACATCTTATCTGCTACTTTTTTATTTTTATATTTGGAGATCCTATTTTCTTGAAAATTGCAGCGCTATGCTTGTTTTACTGCTTCTCCGGTAACGTACATTTCGGTAATGCCGAGAAATAGAAAGAATCTCTTTGAAATGTCGGAAATCAGTTGGCTACACACACACACACACACACACACACACACACACACACACACTTATTTCAGCAACGGGAAGACTTGAACTCTAAGTATCAAGGGAGTCCGGGCAATGGCTGTGGTTCCCTGACAAGTTCAATGCCAAGGAAACTCCCTATTGCCCCGAAGGTAGTCACCTCCCTGCCTAGATGGAGTCTTTGGGGCTTTATCTCTTTCCGGTAATGATACTGTTGGATGTCTGGGGCTTCAAACATGCCGAGGCAAGCCGACCAAGGATTCTGCTCATATGCAGTATGTATCAAGGGGATGGGAAATATAGAACACAGCTGAAAGATAAACTGTATACACCACTGTAATTACACAACCCTCAAGTGCCCTACCTAACAACTCGTCCTCCACCTCCCCACAATTACAACCATTATGGATTTGGGCTTTCCTTTGGGCTTTAGATATACTTAAAGGACTAGCATCAATTTACATCCCGCTTTACATCTTTACGTTTAAAAAAGAAATGGGTGAAACATTCCCATCTACTCAGTGTCCCTATATTGGAACAAATTAAGGAACGAACCTGACAGCAGCCGGGCAGGACTGTAATCTTATAGGGCCATCTCCGAAACTGTAGGAGCAGAGAATATGCAGCTCTCTTCCCAGGAAATCTTTTCAGCTTCTAGGACACAACTCAAACGCCCCGCTAGGAGCTGCCGCTGTGAGATGGAGCCAAAGACTCTGACAAGTGGCTTGTGTATGACCCAATATTTATCAATAACAACAACAACAAAATCAAGTGAAACCAAGGCTTGGGAGTTTGAACTGCCTACGGAGCCTGGCTGATACACACGGGCGAATAAAGTCTCTGGAGACCAGTTGGCTCCATTTGTCTGCCCTGGGGAGCAATCCCAGGGCAAAATCCAGTGCTAATTGATCTCAACCAGCCGCAAGATCAGCTGTAAATGTTCGAAGGGACAAAGAAAGAGCAGTGTGCTCTAAAGATGCTCTGTGCACTTTTTTTCAAGCAAATAGGGGCGTGTAATCAATAGCATGTACATGAATATAAATAGAGAAAAAGAATTACTTCAATTAATTAGGAAATAATGTTTCATGCACAATTCCAGACCTCCGCAATACCCAGATTCTCTCACTTACGAGTTATTTTGTGATCTGGACCTAAAACTCCCTCTATGAAAACCTTCAGGCCCAGTTTGTGATGGAAGACAGTTAGCAGCATATACTTAGCTTAATTGGGGGCCTTTCTCTCCTCTTTGGGGTATTTATTCTAAGGCCAAAGGGTGGTTTGCTTGGGCAGAAATCCGAGCAAGCAGAGAGCCTGGCCCTGCAGGCGGCCGGCAAGCCTTAAGCGGAGAAAGCGCGGGGGTGAACCTCTCTACCCGCGCTCGGAGACCACGCGGCCGCCATCAGCCAGCCGTACCGCCTGCTCTGGCAAGAACTGGACTTCCTCTGAGTTTCCATTTCCTAGTTGACTCTTCTTTCTTATCTAACAAGTTCACGCTCTGGGAGAAAAGAAAGGAAATGGAAAGAAGGAAGGAAGGGGATAGGAGGAAAGGGGGAGGGAGAAGTGAAAGGAGTGGGGAAGAGGGAGAAGGCAGAAAGAAAAAAGAAAGACAGAAAGAGACAAGGAGTCTCTTTGCTGGGACGGTTTTGTCACAAGCTCAGAGCCAAACTTGCCCGACTGAGCTTTCATCTCAGACACGGCTTTCTCTCTCCTAGTCTTAGGACAAACCCAGAAGGGGGGAACACCAAATTTGGCTAAATAGATCCACTCGGGATTATTCAATATAAAAACGTCCCACCACCTTTGCTGTCAGTTCTGAAAAGGAATTGGGCTCTTTTAGTTCTCATTTGGTCACAGTAGCAGCTTGCTCCTGTGTCCTGCTCCATCTAGCTTACTCCGTCGGATGTCTCCTTCCTGCGTGTGGCTTCTTGAGAAGATCCGGAGAGAAGTGGTGTGTAACTGCTCTCCCCCACTGGGTTCAATACTCCTTAGTTTTTATTGAATATTCGAATTAACTTCAGCACCACGCACCGGTATTTCAGCTCAGAGTTGTGCACTATATCAATACATGCTCACAACCTTTAACTGGTTTCCTCCCCGCGCCACCCCCCCTCCCGCCCCCCGCGTTCACCATGGCAGATGACCTATAAAGCCCAAAAATATTGATCTGTTGGTGCATACTTCCAGTCTGATGTGCAAAAACCAGACATCTAAACTGAAAGTTGCCTTTTCAGAAGGGGAGGGGGACCTGGAGATGAAACCTAAAAGCAAGGCCTCTCTCCGGCTGGATTGCACTTGGCAGGCGTGGACGACAAAGGAACTCAGGGTGAGCGCGCAGGGAGGAGAGGAGAGCAGAGGCGTGCTGACTGGCAAGTCCGTCGGCGAAGCTCAGCCGCCAGGAACCTCGGCCCCACAGCCATTGTTGCCCCAAGAGGGTGGGCAGACTGGACCTTTGGCAAATACTCGTGCCACAGGTTTGGTTCTGCTTTGGGTTGGGTAGGGTGGGGCTTGGGGAGGACCTAGAAGATTCAGCACTAGAGAGCGAAGAGGCAGGTGGGTATGAATTGTGCGCATTGGTTCGTCCTGGAAGTTTTTGTGTTTTGCTTGGTTGGATTTTTGTTTGTGTTTGTTTTGTTTGGGGGGGGGCATAGTTTTAATCTTTGGTAAGGAAGCACACATTTTATCGGTACACAGGTTGCTTGCTTTCTCTACTGGACTAAGGGAGGTTTGGGGACTGGGGTTCTCCGAGTGCCCTCAAGCAAGCACTTTTCCCTCTCCTTATTCCTCTTCAGACTTGGAATGCGCATGAGTTGCTCTCTGTATTATATCCATCCATCTCACATACAACCCTCGGCTGCTGTACGCATTCTGTGTGCGGTTAACTGTCAAGGGATGACCGCTTCCAGGCTGACCATCTAATAGTTGGACACTGTTTTTTTTTATTTTTGTTTTTTCAGTTTTCTCTCATAACTGGACTTTGGGGGCCCTTCTGGAGGGGTGCTTCAGAACATAGGGGATTTGTTGTTTGTGTTCTCAGGAAGGTGATTCAGGATCCCACTGAAAGTCACACTGATGCTCTGAAATGCTAAGATCAGTGATGGTACAGTTAGGGTCTCCGGGCCAGAGGAGCTCTGCACTTTTCCAGACTGCAAGCTTTTGTTTCACAGTGTATGTGTTTACAAAACCCGTTTTCTTTCTTTTCCTTTCAAGATGCATTGACGGACAAACCAGGGAAGACAGCTTAGTCATACATGCTGGATTTTGTAAGTCTATTTGCTTCCTCTTCAGAAAGACTGGGATGGGGTCCGGAGAACTCGGAAGCCAAGCCTTGTCTTCCATTTCCAGTTCTGGGACCCTACTTCCACTCTTTCTTCTCTCTCCAGTCTTTCCTGTCCTCTTGGGGGAAGTAGACTGTTTTGATTCCTTGGGCAGCTAGGGGAAAATCCAGGCCCTTTCAGGGCTGGCTTGCCCAGGTGGTGTGTGGCTTGCCCAATTGGATCTGCTTTTTAAGTGGAGCAAAGCCTCCCTGCCTACTTATCAGGGGCTCGACTTCTTAAACTATCCACTCTCAAAAAGTCCCAAGCTGCTGGAAAATAACAGAAAACACATAAAAGGTCAGCAGGCCTTCCAATTCACCGGAAATGTTCGGGTATTCTACAGAGAAGTTGTTGAGAGAAACTCAAGGGGTCTTGGCTCTTGGATGATGACATTATGCTGTGAGTCTCTCTGGGGTTGTTGGGACCAGGAGTTTTGGGATGCCAGTAGATCTTACTTCACTACACATGGGGGACACATGGCTATATCAAAGAGATGTGCCCAGAGACCACCGCGGTTTTCCAAGAAAGACCACTTTCTTCCTCTTCTTCCTCCTTTGAACTTTCTGGTTTCTGAAGTGGTTCCCTAGCTTATAGAAGTTAAACATTTCGACTCTCAAATATGAGGCTCTCCCATAGATATTTTTTTCTCAAGGTTCTCAAGCAAAATTGCCAGTGCCACAATGTTATGATGGAAGGATGCTGGAATGACAGGCCTAGTAGACGCTTGTCTTAATCATCGGCTTCTTAATTTAGTTTTAGAGCTGTGTGTGTGTGTGTGTGTGTGTGTGTGTGTGTGTGTGTGTGTGTGTGTACCCACTCCCTGCACATATGCGCGCCCTCGAGGACATTAAGGGTGCGCGCGTGAGCCTGCTGAGAGCAGCCTCTGACAACCTGCAGCTCCCTAATGAGTGACGAGGCAGGGCTGCTGAGGAAAAGTAACACTTCCCTGGTGTGAAGACCTCTTACTGAGAAGTTTAGTTCACTACAGTTCTCGCAAACCTAATCGTATAACCTGTAACCAAAACCCACAGAACAAGGCTACAACACGCTAAAGAGTAACTTCTAATCACTGAATGTTAGCACCATTACCTGCTGTTAGGAAGCGATTACAGGCAAGTTGGCTCTAGGGAGGGCAGACTTCATTTGTTACAGAATCTCTTCAAAATACCTGGACGGCTCAGCATGGGATCTGCTGACTCCCACGTGTCAAGGGGTCACAAACGGTCCTGTGCATTTGTAAGAAGAGAACTTTAGCTAGAGTTAGTCCCTGCTCCCGAGGGAAAGGTGGAAATAGATAAATATGGCCCACCCTTGTTACTAGAAGGTAAGGAAGGCCCAAAAGCAAAGACTAGTACCCAAGGAAGACAACATAGCATCCACTCTCATAAATGAAAGGAAAAGGAGCTGCTGCGTCCTGCTCAGATGAAGTACACTGTGGAGTCTTGGAGCTAATATAAAATCTATAAGAAATAATGTACTTCATTCCACAAGAACCTCTTCCATTGGAATTGTTCACTATACAATTCTTGTCCTCCTTTGGGGCTGGGTGGGTGGGTGGTGGATGAGAGCTGAGGCCTACAAGTTCACCACTATGTAAACCAACAAATCACATATTTACTCCGATATGCTGTTATGCCCACTACTTCACCAACACTACACATTTGCAGATTTATAAGGGTGAGGTTAAATTGATTAGGAGGGAAACTTGTACTGATGGGGGAATTTGTTTCCGGTCTGAGACCACTGGCTGCCTGCCCTCTGTCTTCTGAAGGTAATCACAGAGGCTGAAAACAGGGCTTTATGTGCTGAGGGAAGAGGCCCATGGTGGACGTGGGCAGGACTTCAAATCCAATTTGCACCCAAATTGGTTGGTAGGATATACAAAGCCCCATCCAGAGACTTTCAACTTCACAATACTTTGTCCAGAAGCCCCTTCCCCTTCTGTTTCAGCTAGCAGCTCATCTAAAAAGAAACCATTGCTGATACAAATATAAGTCGCTGAGTAAACAGTGCATGTTTTGTTGAAGAAGGCTGATACACATATGTGTGTGCATTCTGATATATATATTCCCATCTCATCATAAAGAGCAATTAAAATTATTCAAAGGGATTCAAGCTTGCTTTTTCGGAAACTGCAAATAATCTTTGCATCAGGAAACTAGTTTTAATATCATACCAAACTGTGTTCTATTTTTTTTTACTGTAATACATCCTGTTCTGAGAGACTTGCATTCATGCAACCTTAATATAACACAGCGCATCCTTAATTTGCATGCAAAAAACACTTTTCAGGCCACTATATGCCTTGACATATAAAATCAGATTATTGCAGCTCTCACTTTTCAAGCCTCGGTTTTTTGCTTTTTGAAAGTAAACAGAAGGAAACCTTACTTCCCCTGCTAATTTCTTCTGCAGGATAACAGAACAATGCACACTTAGCTTTAACCTAAAAAGCACCTCCAAACATTAAAAATTCATCAGTCAGGGCTGGTGTTGTATTCAAGGAACACTCCTCCAGTTCACTGCTGAGCTCAGATTGGAATAAAATGTCCAATGTTAACAAACAATACCCACGTTTGGCACTTTGTGTATTAAATTGATCAAACAGATTTTAGGAGACACAATGCACAATTTGTACAGACCTGATTGAGTTAATATAATATCAGCAAATTTTACATCGAAATGATTCTGTTTCTTTTCTTTGTGTTTAAAACCAGCACAGATTACAAATTTTAATGATCTGAAAATGTTTGGTATACAAAATCATGCTTATTTCAGTATTAGCAAAAACACAAGAAATTCTTCAACACAAACACCCAGCTGTGTCTATTTTAAAAGCAGTTCAATGACAGCTTGCACTTATGAGCATGCAATCAGCTAATTTCGCTGTTTTTTTCTTCTGTGTTAATCAACACTTTCCTTCCTGCATATCAGAGTACAAATAGTATAGTTACTCCACATCAGTAAATGTTTACGTAACCTGTCCTTTCCCAAGAATCCGGTTACACCGAATCATTTCACGCTAGACCGACTACGAAAACGTACCGGGCCGTCCACCTCAGAGGGAGCCCCGTGAGCCATTATAAGCGGTGGTGAGAAGGGGGGTTGGGGGGATGGGGAGGAGTAGGTGGAGGAGTGGAGGGGAGAGGAAAGGAGGGAGGGAGAAGGGGTGGGTTAGTGAAAAGGGAAGAAGGAAGAGGGGAGGAGGAAGGAAAGCAAGCCAGTTGAGGAACTACTCTGAAGAATAGGCCTGAGGAGGAGAAAGAGTGGAAAGGGAAATGAACCGGACGTCTCAGCCTCACGGATCTCTCTAGCTGGGCTGGCAAAGGCCGCCTCCTCGCCAGGCTCTGTGAGAAACTCCAAGCTTAGTCATCAACCCTAAGCTTAGAAATCAACCGTTGGTGCCGATGTGGCTTGCAAAGTTGATTGCTAGAACTCTGGAATTGTTTTTTTTTTTATGTATACCTTGTTTTAAAGTAAGCGGATATGTAGAAATAGATCCAACCAGTGGAAGGATATTCGGGGACAAATATTCAATGATCCCTCACAGTATTCCTAACAGATACACTAAAAATCGCTATTTATAATTGTGTATATATTTTTCTCTCCAAAGTTTATCTTTCCTTCCTTTCCCTCTTCCCGCGCCCCATTTCAAAGTTGGGGATGGGAACAGTGGAATCATTCCCTATTATTCTGAGTATTCATTTATTACGTTTTTATGCTAGATGTTAACGTCAAACATAGGCCCTGTTGGTTTTATTTTTCTTCCTTCCGTTTTTTAAAAACATCAGGTCTGCCAGATCATTTAGCTAAGAGCTCATCAAAGTGAAGAATGCTCGCATGGCTAGAGTATTTTACCTTAAAGAGGAGGGGGAAAGTACTCGTGATCTATGTGTCTCCACCTCCCTCTTCTCTTAGGCTACGTCCTTCTCACAACGTGGCGTGCTTCGAGCCCTGAGGGCTGAGACGCTTCTGGTCTGCCTGCTCCGCTCTAAATTCCAGTCCCTGGGAAATGCTGGGCCTTAGCCCTGGCCTCAGCCAAGGGATCCTTTCAAAGCCCTCGAATCACAAGCTATCCACTCATTTCAACCTCCCCACCACACCATCCCTAAACTCCAGAAGACGGGACTGTCAAATCCACGTTTCCCAGGCTCCTGGGAGCGTTCCTGCAGCATCCAGGAAGGGCAAGAGCTGCTTTCAACATAATGATGCTTCAAGATTGAGGTTTTAAAGAAAGAAAGCATTTGTGAAATGGGGGTAAAGGAGCAAACATAGGATTTCTTTTTTTAAAGGAAGTAGCCTCCCACTCCTATATTTTCTTCAATGTCAAGCGAAATGAAAATATTTCCAGGGTGATCGATCGCGGCGGCTACCGGCTTCCAATACTGCCTAGAAGCTGAAGAGGAGGTGGAGTGCCGAGGAGAAACCGCCACACGGTCACCAGCGCGTGAGCGCGGATCCTGGCGTGGAGAGAGACATACGGAGCGCGCACGTGTTACCTGCTTTATTTCGGGACTGTTTGGTACTGTGTTCGCGCTGGGCAGCTCTCCGCCCGGAAGGCCGCCCCCGCACGCCGCCCTCAGCCCCACTTCGCGGCCGAGCTCGCCGAGGGCCTCAGAAACCAGTAAGTACCGGCCTGGCCGCGGCCGCCCCCGCCCCAGATCCCAGGCTAGGCTCCCCCGAAACCCGGCTCTCCCGGGACGCTAGCCCGTGGGCTCCAAGGGCGCTCCCAGGGCTACAGCGTTTCTAAGGTTCACGCCCTCTCCCGCACCCTCACAGCTCGCCCCTCCGCCGCGCCCCCGCTCTTAGAGACAAAATTGGATACAAACTTTAATCAGTAAGGATAAATATTGACGCGCAAAGGAAAATAATCCCAT